GTGAACCCCAGTCCCACCTCGCAGTGGTGTTTGTAAACTCTAGCGAGCGCTCAGTGCATGCGGGGGCCTTTCTCACGCAGCAGCCCTTTGGGGTTGAGTGTCGGGCGAGGAGCAGACCCCAAGAGAGGCGTGAAGTCCCAGGCGCTCGGCTCCAGCGCGGTGGCCCCAGACGTCTCAAGGGCTTCAAGATGTTTCCCTCCAGGTTCTTGGCTAAGGGCCCAGTCGAGGATGAGCTTGGGGGTGTCACTGGGGAACCACTGTGGGGAAGCAAGTCACTAATGTCCATTGGTCTTGCTTGGCTTGGGTGGGAGACAGAGAGAAGTGGACAGGTGTCCACAAATTCCACCTCCCAGGGTGCTCGCGTCCCCTAGCCCAGGTGCAGGGTTGTGGGCTGGCCGTGTTGATGTGGCTTTGTCTTGGGCACCGGATGTCCCGATCTCCCCAAGACAGCTCCCAGGCCCTCCCTCCCCTGGCCACGTCTTCTGGGACAGGGGTGGGGTGGGAAGACAAAGAGCCAGCTTTGAGAACTGGAGAGCCGGAAGTGGGCCGCGGCCTGCCTGCCCACCCACACCCACACCGGCTGTGATCTGGGCAAGTGGGCCCTGCCAAGGCACTGCGGCCGCTGTGACCTGGTGAACTCAGGCTGTGGACAGGCCTGGGCCCAGGACTCCCAGCCTCTGCCTTGACCGCAGCCAGCCCAGTGTGACTGGAAGGTCTCCAGTGGAGGCAGCTGGAGGGTAGGGGAACAGGGCCGGCCCAGGTTTGGTGGCAGCTGGGCAGGGAGCAGATGGAAACTTCTGCCCTGGTGGGGGTGGCCCCTTCCCCTCAACCATGTGGGGTTCTTATAGCCTGGGGTCTCCCTGCCTCATGCCCAGGCCTAGCCCAAGGCAGGCGTGGCTCTGTGGCTGGGTTTCCTTCAGAGCATGTGGTTCAGAGCCTGGCTTGGGTCTCAGACCCCATGTGGCTCCTGGTTCTGTGTGGCTTCGGGCAAACGCCTCAGGCTCTGCCCAGAGCTGGGAGATGAGGGGACCACCACAGGCTCCCGGGGGTTGGGAGGACCAAGGGAGAGGGGGAGAGGCAAGGCCCAGTGCAAAGCTGCACAGCCAGGGCCGGAAACAGACCCTGTGCCCACCGAGGCTGATAAAGGCCCCATGCTGGGCAGGCAGGTTTCCACTTGGCAGGACCTGCCCTGCCCTGGAAGTGGCTTGTGCTCTGTGGGCGCTGGCAGGCTCTGAGGCCAGGGCCGCCATCTGTCAGCTGGCAGAGAGCTTCCCCGGCAGGGTCCCCCGCCTGGGAGCCTGAGGAGCCCCCACCCGTCCTCTCCCTGCTTCCTGCCCAAGTGTTTGCTACCCTCTGGACTCCCAGGAGGCCATGGAGGGGCCCAGGTCCTGCTGGCCGAGGGCCAAGAACCCCATGGAAGTCGGCCTTGGTTTGGACGCTGCTGCCACTGCCTGTGGGGACCTCTGTGTACTGGGCCAGCCTTGGGGACAGGACACAGTCAGAGTGAGAGGCCCCAATGCCTCATCGCAGGGTGGGCAGATGGGCAGCCTGGGCCTTGCTCGTCCACACGGGGTAAGCTGCCAGTGGTGGAGGACAGAGGCCAAGCCTAATGGAGGTTCAGCCTAACAGGCTTCCTGGCCATGCCGACATCTCCTTCCCGGCCCCTGCCCACTCAGACGTACCAGCCCCTAGCCGCTGCCTCCTCTCAAGGCCACCTGCCCCCACGTCCCAGCCCCTGCCTAGACTGAAGTCTCAGCAAAGCCAGCAGGAGCGGGCGGCACTGGAGGGTGAGGCATTGGCGCGGGGCTGAGGAGAGCGGACAGCCTCAGAGCCAGCAGTGGCGTGGTGGCCAGAGTAGCCGTGGAGGTCTGTGGTTCTGCGGGGGAGGGGTGGCCTGGCTTGCCCAGCTCTGACACCCCCAGTTCTCAGTGCTCCATTTCCAGGGGGGAGCTGGGTGAGGCCTCCCATGCAGGGTCCCACTTACCAGGGCTGACTCAGCGCTCCCTCCACTTGCACAATGTGGGGAGCTGTTCCAGGTGTTGGCGTGGCATGACCAGCACACCCCTGTGGTAGGCACAGGACCTGGTGCCAGCTGGGGAGTCCCATGAGCCTCCCTAGACCCCAGCCCACCTGCTGTCCAGAGGAAGGAGCTCAGGAGCAGGCCGTGAAGACGGTGGTGTTGAGATGGGGGCCCTGTCTGAAAGGGGAGCTGAGGAGTTTGTGTGTGGTGGGTGGTGTTTGGGGCCTGCTCTGCCCCCAGACTCCCCATCGCCTGCCCAGGACCCCCCGCACCTCCCAGCCATCCCCCTGCCCCCATGGCAACCCAGCAGCCTGAGAGCTTGTCCTGGATAGGGGTGCCCCAGAGAGCACAGCATGGGGCAGGGGGTCTCTGTCCCCCTCCCCAGCCGGGTGGTGCAGGAGGCTGCCCTGTCTCTGCGTTAGGGTCTGTGCCTTGGGGAGCTGCTGCCACCCCCACCACAACCCTGGCCACAGGGTCCTGGAAGCTTCCCGCCCTGCCCACCCCAACTCAGCACCTTCCTCTGTAGCCTCCATCACTGGGACGATGCAGATGCCACGCCCTCGTCACACACCGTGAGCGGGGGGCTCAGGTCTCTCACCCACACAGCCCTGCAGTGGGGGGCTGGGAAGGTCGGGAGACCCTCGCCAAGGCTGATTGAGGCTGTGAGCACTGGGCGTGTGGGGCTGGGTGCTGGCCACACATGGGCCTTAGCTGCAGCGAGATGAAAGGGACGCAGCTCCTCACTTTTGCACATTTCAAGGGCTCAGCAGCCCCCTGTGGCCTGTGGGTCTTGGATGATGCAGATCTAGAACGTTCTGGCAGCTAGGAGAGCACTGTTGGGTGGGAGGGGGCCTCCGGGGAGGAGGGTCACCCAAGAGAAGGGCCAGGAGCCTGGAGACCCCCAGGACTGGGGGCTGCACAGACAGCTCCTAGCCAGGCCCAAGGCACAGGGGATGGGGAGGGGGCAGCCCTGTTTCTTCCTCCCTCACGTCCCACTCCCCTGCCTCTCCCCCAGCCCCGGCCCCTCCTGCCCTCACCGAGTCCAGGCGGACTCTGTGCCCCCACGAGCTGCACCAGGCATCAGCCTGACCCGGGAGCTCAGGGGTGACCCCCATGTCTGTGCCAAGCCAAGTGGGGTCAGCACGTCCTGTCAGTTGTGGCAGCTTCTGCCAGGCTGTGCTTTAGGGTCGGGGTCTTTCAGGAAGAAGCCATGCAGCCCATCCAGCAACACTAACTCCCCAGGCTCAGGGGGTCCCAAGCACAGGTGTCCTGGGGGTCCCAGCACAGGCAGGACCCACCGTCTCTAAGCTTCCCTTTGACCAAGGTGGGGCCAGGCACCCTGGGAGGCCAGGGCTCAGGCCCAAGGCCCAGGCTAGGAGCTGGGTATGGCGACCGCATTTTTAAAACAGGAAAATTCAGGATGTGCTTTTGGGGTCACTACGAGTGCGCCTCCCCACCCGGCTCTTTGACTTGGGTCCCTTCTTAGGCCTCAGTTTCCCCATCTGAGGGGTGGGTGTGGGGCCATCTGTGGTCACAAAAGTTGCTGACCGTCAGGACCTCGGGAGAATTTGGGGGCAGCTGCCTCCACTTTGGGGTCTTGACTGGCCCAGGGGTCGTCCCAGCCCTGGAGTAGGGTGGGGTGCACGGCGTCTCCCTCTGCAGCCCCACGCTCTGCCCAGGCCTCATCCCCGAGCACTGGGGCTTCCTGTGTGCATTACAAACAGTGCACCCCAGCCCCTGATGTGGGAGAGGAGGAGATGGGCACACTAGGGTCCCAGCAGCTGAAGTACTGGGGTGAAGAGGTGAAGACTGCACCAAGGTACCCCATTCTGGGAGAAAGCAGCAAGGCTGGGGGTGGGGCTGCCCCCTGTCCCCAGCCATGTCCCTCTTAGCTGTGCAGCCACAACAAGCCCCACCGAGGCAGCCCTGGCCCCGGCCCAGCCGGTCTCAGGAACCCACACCACCAGCGTTGACTGCCCAGCCCTGACCTGGTGGGTCCTGACAGACCAGCGCGGTCCAGATGGGGGCCACTGTACAAACTGGGGATACATTTCTAGCTGCTCTGGATGGACTGGAGCTGAACTCTCGCATCCTGGGAGTCCGTTCCTACAAAGTGCCTGGAGAGGTGGAGGGCGATGGGCACTTTCCCGCAGGCACCTCCCCTGCCACTCCCCGGGACCCTCCACAGCCAGCCCACCGTGCCCACGGGCACCGCCACTGGTTTCTTAGGGTCATTCGGAGTCAGGACCCCCACGCTCTCCCCAGCCCTGGCTGGCCCAGGGGCTTGCTGTGTGCACGGCTACCCTGGCACCTGGGGTGAGGCTGTGCTCCCACTGGGTGAATCTCAGGTGTCCCTCTCAGCCAGACGCCTGGAACCCTAGCGCTACCTCCCAGCGGCCACATGCACTCGCCAGGGGCTGCAGACAGCCTGGCTGCTGCGTGGGCCCCGTGGGAAACTCGGGGGCAGCTGGATCGGGGCTTTGAGGGCCAGTACTTGGGGTGTGGCCACCAAGGCCCCAGCTCAGCCTGATGGGGGTGGGGCCCACGTGCCTTTGCCGTCGTGTGACGCAGCCCTGTGTGTGGAAGCCGCAGTGCGCCAATGTGCACTGACTCGCCGGCCGAGGGAAGCTGCGCCCTGTGGCCTCCTCACCAGCCACAGCTCCCAGCTGCACACTGCCGCCCAGGGCTCCGGGAGACGGTGCTGTGGGACGCATCTGTCTTTGTTGCAGAGCCTCTGCCTGTCTTTGGGGGTTCCTGGACAGAGGAGGTCCACCACCCTGTACCCCTGGCGCCGGGCGCCTGCCCCGAGCCGCGTGCGGAGGGCCTGGGTCATCCCGCCGATCAGTGTATCCGAGAACCACAAGCGTCTCCCCTACCCCCTGGTTCAGGTGAGCGGGTGGAGGGGGCGGGAGGGGAGGAAGGGGTGGGCTGGTCCCCAGTGGGCCTCCCTCGTTCCCTAAAGGTCTCCTGGGAGCCAGCGGGGCCCCATTTCAGGGCAGAGCTGGGGCAGGACTCACCCACCTTGCCAGGGCTCTGGGCTTCCAACCTGGGTCTACAGCAGGGCTGAAACCCTCCCCTTTGCCCCAGGCCTCAGGGGAGTCCAGAGCTGCTCCCACCCCACGTGCACCTCTGGTGGACACATTCCACGTTAGGCTGCACGCTCGGGCGTGATTTTTGTCTGTGTGTTCGCCGACGCTGAGCAGATGGAGGTGAAGGTGAACTGCCTTGCGGAGTGTCAGCTTCACACACCCAAAATCGCCCCAGAGACCAGGGCCCTGAGGACACCAGGGGCTGAGCCTGAAATGAGGCTGCAGGACGGGGCACCCTTGGGGCCACAAGCTGAGCTGTCCCCAGCCCAGCACAGCTCCTCACTGGGTACCAGGCTCCGTCCTCCAGTCCTAGGAGGGTTCGACCTGCCCTGCTGTCAGCCAGGGAGGGGCCTGAGGGGCTGCAGAGAGGGCAGAGGCCCCCGCCCGCAGCAGCTCTCCCCAGCCCCATTTCCTGCCCCACAGATCAAGTCAGACAAGCAGCAGCTGGGCAGCGTCATCTACAGCATCCAGGGACCCGGCGTGGACGAGGAGCCCCGGGGCGTCTTCTCTATCGACAAGTTCACGGGGAAGGTGTTCCTCAATGCCACGCTGGACCGTGAGAAGACCGACCGCTTCAGGGTATGGATCTGCGCGGTCCGGCCTGTGCCCGTCAAGCAGGCCTGGTGGGAATCCAGTACTCCTCCTCCCCATCAGGCTTCTCCTCCAGCTCGGTGGGCTTCAGGCCAGACTGCTGGTCCTGCAAGATCCAGGCACCCTTAAGTGAGGGGCCAGGTACGGGGGTCTGGGACCAAGGCCCTGCAGCCTGAGGAGGCAGCTGTTTAGGGTGATGTTCCCGTTTAACTGGAGGGCAGACAGAGGTCCCGTGGAGGAGCGGCGTGGTTCTGCCCGGGAGGAGCGCGCTGCAGCCGCTGTAGCTTTGTGGCTGCACCACAGCCAGCTCCGCACTGGTCCTGGGAGCTCAGGAACGTCGTGAAGAATCTCTAAATAGTGTTTTTTGGGTTTTTTTTGTGAGTTGGAGCTTCACTCTGTCGCCCAGGCTGGAGTGCAGTGGCACAATCTCGACAGACTGCAATCTCTACCTCCCGGGTTTAAGCGATTGTCCTGCCTCAGCCTCCTGAGTATCTGGGATTACAGGCGCCCACCACCATGCCTAGTTAATTTTTGTATTTTTAGTAGAGACGGGGTTTCACCATGTTGGCCTCCCAAAGTGCTGGGATTACAGCCCTGAGCCACCACGCCCGGCCTCCCAGAGTGCTGGGGTTACAGGCGGGAGCCACCACGCCTGGCCCCAAAATAATGTTGATCCCAGTGGCCGCCACTGTTCTCGGGAGTGGGATTAGTCAGGGAAGAAACCACTGATGCCCCTGGGATTCTGAGGTCTGAGAGAAGGGGCAGTGAGTGCTGGGCGCGGTGGTTCATACCTGGAATCCCAGCACTTCGGGAGGCCGAGGCAGGAGGATTGCTTGAAGCCAATAGTTCGAGACCAGGCTGGGCATCAAAGTGAGGCCTTATCTCTACAAAAATTTAAAAAAACGGTAAAATTGCCAGCAGTGTTGCTGCATGCCTGTGGTCCCAGCTACTTGGAAGGCTGAGGTGCCAGGATCCCCCCGGAGATCGACGCTGCCTAAGTTGTGATTGCGCCGCTGTGCTCAGCCTAGGTGACAGAGGAAGACCCTCTCTCAAAAAACAAAAGAAGAAGAAGAAGAAGAAGAAGAAGAAGAAGAAGAAGAAGAGGCTGGGCACGGTGGCTCATGCCTGTAATCCCAGCACTTTGGGAGGCCGAGGCGGGTGGATCATGAGGTCAGGAGATCAAGACCCTCCTGGCTAACACGGTGAAACCCCATCTGTACTAAAAATACAAAAAATTAGCCAGGTGTGGTGGCGGCGCCTGTAGTCCCAGCTACTCGGGAGGCTGAGGCAGGAGAATGGCGTGAGCCCGGTTGGCAGAGTTTGCAGTGAGCCGAGATCGTGCCACTGCACTCCAGCCTGGGTGACAGAGCGAGACTCCGTTTCAAAAAAAAAAGAAAGAAAAAGAAAAGAGGATCGGGCGCGGTGGCTCATGCCCATAATCCCAGCAGTTTGGGAGGCTGAGGCAGGCAGATCTCAAGGTCAATAGATCAAGACCATCTTGGCTAACATGGTGAAACCCTGTCTCTACTAAAAAGTACAAAAGTTAGCTGGGCACTCTGGCATGCACCTGTAGTCCCAGCTACTCAGGAGGCTGAGACAGGAGAGTCACTTGAACCCGGGAGGCAGAGGTTGAAGTTAGCTGAGATCTTGCCACTGCACTCCAGCCTGGTGGCAGAGAGAGACTCTGTCTCAAAAAAAAAAAAA